CTTTGCTTCACATTTTACCTTATCATAGTCTGGATAATCTAACACTAGGAGCTTTGCTTTACATCTTACCTTATCATAGTCTGGATAATCTAACACTAGGAGCTTTGCTTCACACCTTACCTTACAGACTGTGTAATCTAACACTAGGAGCTTTGCTTCACATCTTACCTTACAGTCTGTGTAATCTAACACTAGGAGCTTTGCTTCACATTTTACCTTATCATAGTCTGGATGATCTAACACTAGGACCTTTGCTTCACATCTTACCTTATAGTCTGTGTAATCTAACACTAGGAGCTTTGCTTCACATCTTACCTTATAGTCTGTGTAATCTAACACTAGGAGCTAAGTTATGTTAGAAATATAGCTATTTATAAATATCTATGAACAAAAGCTTTAATGTGATCACAGATGTGAGGGTTTTTTCAAAAGTGACCATCACTGTCTCGTTGAAAGTAAAATCGGTGCTACTGTAGCGTGTGGTCTACAAAGATAATTACAACATAGTGTGCAGTCTACACAGATATTATCATCATCACCGTTTTAACTTTTGTTTATTTGCAGTTGGCACCATTTATTATAAATAACGCTTTTAAACTAATAAAGTACAAAATACCATTACATAACGTTTTCGGGGGCAAATATTATCAGAATGAAATAAATTACAACAATCAAAGCTAGAACAATAATAACCTAAATTTAAGGTACTTTTTTGGAACACACAACTTATAAAATTATTATTTGCTGAACAAAAACGTGGATAGATATAAATTATTTAGCAAGAAATTATGTTTTAGTGAATCATTAAAAAGGTGATGACGATAGTATCTGTGTAGACCACACACTATAGTGTAAATATCTTTGTAGACTGCATGCTGTAGTAGCACCTTAAAATGTGTAGAAAATGACTTCTGTCATGTTCCTGTAATATTTTGGTGTAAATGACAGAATTGTACTTTGTTGCTTGACCAAAACATTCCATAATTATACATTTATTCAGAAATGTGTTAAGATATTATAAAATGATTACAGAGGTAAACAAATTTTGTAAGGAGAGTTCTTAATTCATTGTCATGAATTTTACATGATGTTCAAAGGGTTGGGTACCTTATATTAAAACAATTTTGAATATGTAAAGCAGCAAGTCATGTGACAACAACAGTTAATATAACGTCATAGTTGGAAGGCATGTATCAGAACTACATTTTCACATAGGTTGGTGTTTTGTAGGTAGTGTGATGCCATTAGTATGTAACAGCCTGTCCTGATATAAAATGTTCATACATTCAGATCGTAAAGATCTGTTCAGATTGGGGATTTAGGATTTTCATGGTTGCAGGTATGCTTCATACTTACTGGCATTGGAAAACAAAGGAATGTGAATCAACTTATGACATCAAGACCAACCATAAAGAGACACATAACAAGTGTGGCATCTTGTAACAGAACAGGATCTGCAGGCTCAAAGTTTAGTGGTAAAAACTTTCCACGTGCCCAAGACAATAGTATGCAACATATTGAAGAAAGATCTCTGTCTTGAATGAGGCAAACATGGTTTTGTTTCACCAAGATGAGGCTTCTGCTCCTGCTATTCCATATGAAGACTTACAGGACAAGTTACTGGATATAATGTCTGTGGATTTCTGTGTGATAAGACTTTTGAAATGGGCGCTAGGAAACAGTTGTCCTCATACACTAGATATATTATGGAAAACCTGTAAATGGTGTGCTTTTAACATTATAGTTTTATGACAGAGCCTTTTGCAATGGAAATATGCTACAGGGTTATTGTCAAAGTGCAAGGTCATCAGAAGGAGCATGAGGCTTCAAAACTGTTTTAACATAACACACTTAACCTCTTCACACATGCTGTATTTCATACTTCAAGCCTCTGATCTGTTCAGTTTAAAGATGATGATAATCCTACAAACAGCAAATTATTTTTTCAAAATTTTGTTTCATTTAGGTCATGTGTAAATGATTTGGTAATAACTTTGCCTTTGGTTATTTTAAATCAAATTAAATTCTGTATTGGAGAAAAAATTGTAAAGATAACTAAATTTTTTTATTATGGTTTAAACAGAAATAACCACTATGTATGGAAATAAATTCTGTTAAGTAAGAATATGCTTCTCGATCTCTTATTACTCATGCTGTTTTTTTTATCAGTTTATACGATAAACTACTGTATCAAAAAGATGTATAATTTTGTATATAATTCAACTTCATCTAATTCACTGTGTGTGTGTATATCAGTACATGTTTTCATATGAAGTACAAGGATATGGTAAAATTATTTATATTATATTTTAATTTATGAAAAGTTTTATTGATATTGACATGCACGTATATATGTGTGTGTGTATGAGTCTGTTTGCATGTGTCTTAATGAGACTGAATAGAAACATGTTAGGAATTAAAAATTCAAGATGTTTATTAGAAGCTCTATGTTTTTCATCATTTTAGTTTAAAAATTGTATACATTATATTCACCTTACAGGCAAGTTGGTGCTGTCCACAGTAACATTATATTCACCTTACAGGCAAGTTGATGCTGTCCACAGTAACGTTACATTCACCTTACAGGCAAGTTGATGCCGTCCACAGTAACATTACATTCACCTTACAGGCAAGTTGATGCTGTCCACAGTAACATTATATTCACCTTACAGGCAAGTTGATGCTGTCCACAGTAAAATTATATTCACCTTACCGGCAAGTTGATGCTGTCCACAGTAACATTATATTCACCTTACAGGCAAGTTCATGCCGTCCACAGTAACATTACATTCACCTTACAGGCAAGTTGATGCTGTCCACAGTAACATTACATTCACCTTACAGGCAAGTTGATGCTGTCCACAGTAACATTACATTCACCTTACAGGCAAGTTGATGCTGTCCACAGTAACTTCTTTTAACTATTTTTAAGAAGAAATTGAGATTGTTATGACTAAATGCTGTTCAATTTCAAAGTTGTTTATTTATTTAACATGCATTAATATGCATTATTTATTTAATATGTTCGTATTCCAGCTTGATAAAATTAAGTATTTTTTACACTTGGAGGAAAAGCAGTTTCATTTAATGTTGCTTTTAGAAATGAATACATACTTATATCTGACATCAGAAAAAAAAAGAACAATTAAAATGTTTGTTGTTGTGATCTCTGTGATTTAATATGAAAAGAATAATGGTCTTATGCAACTAGTAAGGGGTAATGAGCCATTGGAATGCTAATATTTGTAATGAATATCAGTAAATGTTACAGGCTTTGTTGAACTATGTCATGAAGTCTTCATCAACTTGTGAAGAACATGAAGCAAAGTGTATTTGTTTCTGATTAAAGTTATTAGAACCTCTATAACAGTGTGTCAACGTTATTATTCACACACACGTTTTAAAAAAACAACAGTGTAGATTATTTGGAACTGTTTAACTTTGTGTGTTCTAAGTCAAATTAGTGTAATATATGTATTAAAAGATACTGTAGAAACAAATTTGAAACTAAGCTATCATATTTATTTGTATTATTGCTCTCTGAATGTCCCTGAAAATTGTTGTTTGTGGAAATATTACCCATTCTTCTAAGGACGTTTTATAAAATAGAGAAGACGGTTAATCAATAAATAAATAAACATTTCTTCAAAATCTAAGAAGAATAGTCAGACATCAATGTCTTTTTAAAAGTTTGAGGAATTCAATGGTAACATTATTTTTACACCTCATTATAATAGGGTATCTACCAGAGAAGAAGTAACTGTAAAAAGCATTACACTACAACAACAACAGAGGAATTCAATGGTAACATTATTTTTACACCTCAGTATAATAGGCTATCTACCAGAGAAGAAGTAACTGTAAAAAGCATTACACAACAACAACAACAGAGGAATTCAATGGTAACATTATTTTTACACCTCATTATAATAGGGTATCTACCAGAGAAGAAGTAACTGTAAAAAGCATTACACTACAACAACAACAGAGGAATTCAATGGTAACATTATTTTTACACCTCAGTATAATAGGGTATCTACCAGAGAAGAAGTAACTGTAAAAAGCATTACACTACAACAACAACAGTATTGTTCTTCTAGACTTCTTGCATAGGTGCAACTGGAAATGATAAAGCTTGTAACAGACTTTTATTTTAAATTAAGAACAATAGGATCACAGCATTTTTGTAAAAATTATTCATTAAAAACTTCATTCAAATAACATTTAAAAGTGCACAATACTTTAGAAATGGTGAAGGCATTAGGCCGTTTAAAATAATGTTTCGGTAACATGTAAGATGTTTTTAGTTAGGCTTGGTACTCCTAAAGCTTGTTTAAATGCAGTTTTTAATAATGCTTTGATGTTTACGTAAACTTGTAGGAAAACCTATATATAATAGGAAAAGTTATATTTAGGTAGCTAAATAGTTATCTCTAATCTAAACTACTTTAAAACAATGAGAAATACAGTTTTTTTTTGTTGTGGTTATTCGCTCAATAACCGTTGTAATATACACGAAAAACACTGTTTCAATCTTTCAACTATGAGTACTCTGTTTGAAGAACAAATCCAACCTACATGTGTGATGTTGACATAATTAATGACTACTTGTTTAATATATTTTGTGACCATTCTTGTGCAACGATTTCATCAAATAAATAAGAACTCCAACGTTTAAAAATGCACGATAATTTATTGTATAAAGTTAAAAGCGAAATATACAATTAAAACGCTAAATGTTTCGATGGAAAAAATCCCACCATCTTCAGGGAACCATGTAGTTTTAATTGTATATTTTGATTTCAACTTTATACAATAAATTATTGTGCATTTTTAAAATGTTGGAATTCTTATTTGTTTTATGACTTCTTGTTTTGTATAATTGCTTTCGTTATAACCTAGGCTTAGTTGTGGTTTCTTTTGATAAAATTATTTGTGTTTTTTGTTTGTCTTTTATAATAGTCAAATATCACTTGGAGAAAAATCCTGTCGTTGTTTTATTGTCTAAGAGCAATTATTATAAAAAAATATAAAATATTTGGTATAATCTCAGTTATGTACTTGGGATCATTGTAGTAATGCATGACTCTTATTCTATAACTCCTATATATTTATTATACTTAACATTTTTCTTTTGGTATGTGGTATGTTACTCGTGTAGCTGTACAAATTTGATTTAATATAGCCTTTAATTCCTTGTGGTATGTTACTCGTGTAGCTGTACAAATTTGATTTAATATAGCCTTTAATTCCTTGTGGTATTTTACTCATGTAGCTGTACAAATTTGATTTAATAAAGCTTTTAAATGTCTAGCTGTACAATGTTTTCATTATATTCAAGTCCTAATCCAACCCCCTAGAATTATGGTACATAAAAATGTTGATCTGATAACCTTGTCAGTTAGTGGTCTTTTATTTTGTGGCACATTTAGTGTGGGGACTGGCGCGGCTTTTCGAGAAAAACCAGTTCGCGTAGTTTTGAAGAAATCTTTTAGACAGTTTTGTACGAAAAGTTTGCTATTTTTAGTGTAATTACGTATATCTTCGGCAGCTGATTAACAGGATAAATCTGTAGATCGCCTAAGAAAATTAAAACACTATCACACCAACCTCTCTTGCCCATATGCCATACACTATAACAAGCATCAATCACCACGGCAACTTCTAGTCCAAAATTCACATAAAAACAATCAACTGACAGACAGTCTTACGAGGATGATAATTATTCATTACGTGAGGAAATTCAATTAAAACAATAGTATAATACTTGTATATGTCTTTTATTTCTGTTAGATAATTCTACACAAGTCAAAAATACTTTTGTAAAAGATTATTCACGTGTACACTTTTCACTATTTGTGTGACAATTACACAATGGAAAATAACGAAAAATAAGTTGTTCTTAATACCTGTCTCAATATTTTATTGTTGTTTCGCTTTCATTTTGTGATTAAATGTTTAAATTTATTTTTGCATAACATTATTTCAGTGTTCTTAATACACAGTTTAACACACACTGGTGTAATATGGTCAGGTAATTTCTGTATTTTCTGTACCTCGGTAGAGTTTAAATGCTAAACGATTTATAACCTACATAATACTTGTATGTCCAGGGTTGTAAGTTCCACTGATGAAGTTTCGATCCAAGCTGATAAGATTTCATACTGCAAAATTACGAGGAGTGTCTGAAAAGTTCGTGGTCCGACCTGTAAAAAAAAGATACTCTGGTTCAGCTATGATCTATTTTTTCAACATAATCTCCACCTGAATCTGTGCACTTGCACTAGCGTTGCTTCAAGTCCCTTATACCCTTCTTAAAAAACTTTTCTTCTTGGTCCTCAATTCATAACTAAATGGTATCTATCAAATATACCCTTCTGGAAGAACTCTTCTTCTTGGTCCTCAATCTATAACTAAATGATATCTACCAGATATAACCCTTCTGAAAGAACTCTTCTTCTTGGTCCTCAATCCATAACTAAATGGTATGTACCAGATATATCCTTTTGGAAGTACTCTTCTTCTTGGTCCTCAATCCATAACTAAATGGTATTTATCAGATATACTCTTCTGAAAGAACTCTTCTTCTTGGTCCTCAATCCATAACTAAATGGTATCTACCAGATATACCCTTCTGAAAGAACCGATCTTCTTGGTCCTCAATCCATAACTAAATGGTATCTACCAGATATACCATTCTGAAAGAACTCTTCCTCTTGGTCCTAACTAAACCCAGCGAATAAGGGGAGTAATTGGGTAATTCGAAGCCAGCATCATGGATAGCGTTCAAAGCAACACACGATTTATGAGCGGGACGTTGTCCTGATGGAAGAGCACACTTTTGTGAGCAATCCTATTATCTTTTCATTGATTTTTTGACAAAAATTGTCGATTTAAAAATGTATACTAATCTGCTGTATTGGTTTGACCTTTTTTCCAAATAACCAATTAGTAAAACGCCCTTGGCATCCCAAAAAAATTATGCCATGACCTTCATAGCAGAGAATTGTGGCTTGAACTTCTTTGGGGTGGGCGAACTTGGGTGTTTCTATTGCAGACTTTGCATTTTTATCTCTCGGTCGAAGTGGTGAACCCAAGATTCATCCATAGTTACGAATCTATTGAACTTTTGGATTAGGCGCTGAATATCAACAACTCGGATCCATTTCTGCTCAACTGACAGCATTTTTGGAAACCGTCTGGCACTAACCTTACTCATTCCCAAACTGTTACTAAAAATGCTTGCTACAGTACTTTAACCGATTCCCACTTTTTCTGCTAACTTCCTAATGGTAATTCTTCTATCATATATTACCAAATCATGAACTTTATCTGCAATTTCTGTTGTGGTCGATGTCCGACCTGACCTCGGATCGTCTTCACGTGATTTTCTACCGTGCTTAAACTCAGCACACCATTTTTTCTCTGTTAAATATATCGCAGCGCCCTCTCCTACTATTGTTTCCATACACTGGTGGATTTCTTGCAGTGTCATTTTCTTTTTAACGAAATATTTATCACGATGTTTGATCTTCTCCATGATGTTTAGCACTGCTCACTTCTTTCCTTCGA